TAAGTCGCTTTGGATAAAAGCGTCTGCTAAATGGCTAAATGTAAAAAAATTTAAATAAATCAGACTTTTAATATCAGCCATGTATTGGTTATTAGCTATTAAACTAAAATACATAATCTTATCTGTATCAGATGTTTATGTTTATTAAGATATGTAATGTCCAAAGTGACCAAATGCAATCCTTAACGACAAATTGAGAGTAGAAGGGAAAAGACCTCTGCGGGTGCATTACACTAAAGAGCAGGTAAATTTATAGACAGGATGCAATTACCTCATCAGACACTTTGAACCATTTCACCAATGCCATAAGCTTCTGTTTGATGTTGGGTTGCTGGATTTAAAACACAAACACCTTGTTAGACAGAAAACGGGGGAGTCATAAGCAACAATAGCAAACAGACACAAATTAACAGCATATCTGGCTGAGCAAAAGCAGGGAACAAAAATAGCAGCAAGCAGAGAGCGGAGAAAAAAAAGCTGTCACAACATCCACAAAGCGCTGGCAAAGGGACTAGAGGCTTGTCAGCTAGAAGACAGAGCGCACAGGAAAACAAAACAGACTTGTGAAGGCATCTGAGAGGAGGACGCAGATAACACGTTAATGTGCTCAGAAGCCCCATCCCTAGAGTTTCCATATGACTGCAAAAATTGCAGCAGCTCCTATTGCAACTGCTGCTACATCTAAAGAACATCAGTGACCCCAGGGAGAAATATGCAGTTGGTTAACTTCTTGACAAAGCCCGAGTCAACATGGAGGCACAAAGAAAGCTGCTATGGGTCTCTGAGGTCTTTTTTTCAAATCCTGGACAGATCACTTACGTCACTTACGTTAGCTCTGGTGATGGAGGCTGTGGAGGGGAGTTTACGGCGAGGTTTCTTTTTCCTCAGTTCATCCTCGTCGTCATAGAGGTACTGCCCAAAAATGACAAACCATGATTTAACCCTCAAAAACCTTACTTGAATAAAACAACAATGACTATATCTCTCTTAAGTGCCAGAAGTGATCCATACTTGGCCACTATATTACAAGTCTGTGGCAATATGATTTTTAAAAGAATAGTTCACCCAAAAATGAAAATTTGCTGAAAATTTACCTCAGGCCATCCGAGATGCAGCTCAGAACAGATTTGGAGAATTTTAACATCATGTTACTTGTTCACCAATGGATCCTTTGCATTGAATGGGTGCCATCAGAATAGAACTTCAAACAGCTAATAAACGCATCACAACAATTCACAAGAAATCCACACAAGTCCAGTATATCAATTAACGTCTTGTGAAGCAAACAGCTTTTTTAAAATATTAAACTGTTTCTTTCAGGCTAAAATACAAGTCCTCTTTCCATAATATTGGTTTCTCCAATGAAAAAGTTGTCTTGTCTGATTCAGGAGAGAATATGTACAGATCAAGCACTGTACAAGAGAAAACAGTCCAAAACAGTTCTAAACAAATATGATGGTGGATCTTAATGTGAAAGGACAACAGGGGATGGACTTCTTCACTGGAGAAAGTGTTATTATGGTCTATGGAACCAGAAGCAATGGTTTGAAGTTAAAACGCTTTAATGATGGATTTGTTTATTACAAATACACAGCTTCACAAGATGATTAACTGGATTCATGGATTCGATTACGTGTGGGTTATGTTGTTTTAATCAGCTGTTTGAACTCATTTTGACGACAGCCATTCACTGCAGAGGATCCACTGGCAAGTGATGTAACGCTAAATTTAATTAAATCTGTTACTATGAAAAAACTAACTTTGATGTTACATGGAGTCTTCAAAACACCAATTGTTTGTGTTCCAAGGAAGAAAAAAGTCAAACAGGTTTGAAACTGCATGAGGATGAGTAAATGGTGACAATTTTAGTTTTTTGATTAACTAATCAATTAAATCACCCATTTTGGCTCCCTGCATTTCTTTAAATTTCTTTCCTCTCTCTGCCAGAGGGTCTTTTCATGCCACAGTTCTTACACTTCTTATCTGTTAATATTTTTGCTTTATAAAATCCATGTAGTGCATTTCTTCAGTCATCTGACTGATTCATTACAGTCTCTGTGCACTATTCTAATTCACTAAACAGGAAATAGGCAAGATGGCTGAATATCAAAATCAATCACTTCAGTCTCACAGGCTTTACCTGCCCCTGCAGAGGGTCATCACTGCCGTCCTGCTCTGAC